CTTCTATTGTTTGCAGAGAGATATAGTGTGTGAGGTAATATCTTTCATTGCTCCAACTTCTGTTGTTGAATGAGATAAGCTTTTGAGCTGCACAGAACTCTTCTTTGCATCCAGGAAAGGTACCTGGAGCATCACAGCTAAATACAAGGTGAGACAGATGGTTTAGCGTAAGTGGCTAATGCATTTTCTAACAGACTTTTCAAGCTGAAGTGGCCTGCTAACACCTCTACAGTCATAGGCCGTAAAAGGGGAATTAGTAGGTTAAGCTGTTGTAATCCATAAATCCAGTGTCTTTATTGAGATGGGGTGTTTAATGTCTAGCAAAGTTAAGAATTTAACCTCCTAGGTTTGTCTTTTGGTGGTGTTCTGCAGATTTCCTTTGAGGACAAGAACAGAAAGGTCAGACAGGGAGTGAGCCACATGAGAGAGCTTGTTTTTGTCTTTTCTTTTTTCTGTGTTTCACTTGAGACTAAAGTGATTGTCTGGTTTCACTCATATAGTTGTTATTGGGGCATTTAGTGCATTGGATGACATACATCATATGTTGTGATAGGCATGTGTAGAGCCTACGCATCTGGAAAGGGACCATGCATCTTGGGGGAGGGGGAGAAGGGTTATTGTGTTAAGGCAGTGGTTCCCAACCAGAGTTCTGGGAGTGTCTGAGGGGCTGCAGGCAGGTTTCAGGGTGTCTGTCAAGTATGGCCACCATTACACTTGCTAGGGCCTAGGGCAGAAAACCAAAGTCCTGCTGGACAGAACTGCAGCCTGGGGCCATAATCCCTATCACCCAAGACAAGCTGAAGCCTGAGCAATTTAGCTATCCAATGCCCATTGAGGAATGGAGCTCCATGCAGTTGCCTTGCTTGCTACCCCTAAGGATGGGTCTGGCTTTTATACACAGAAAAACAGGTTACATGTTTACAAAAATAAATGTTTGCCAATATCCCTAGTGTGCGCCCCTCCCCTTTAGCTCCCTTCTTAAAGCCAGTGCTGTCGCTGCTCCGGTACCCAAACAAATCATTATTTTGTAAAATGCTTCTGCTGCCTCTCAAGATGCAAACCACGGCAGGCAGATAGAATGTGCTGTGGAGAACCAGGGAGGGATGTAGGGGTTCTGATGGCTGTCATACATCCACCCCTGCCACAGTGAGGATTTCTGTTCTAGTCTGTGGCAGTTTAAATGCATTTGCCTTGCTGCAGTACTCACAGCAAAGCTAACAGAGTGCAATGGAGGGTTCAGCTCCCTTTTTTGCAGCTGCTGTGGCATTGCAGTAAAACCTCAAAAATTTTGCATTTGGAATCCAGAGCTAAAAGTTGGCATGAAGAACTCATTTTTAAAAGCAGGAGGAATTCAGCCCCTGATCAAATACATATTAATTAATATGTTTATGTGGCAGGCTCCCATGGGAATTAGCATGTGGGTTGTAGCTTATCTCTTCGATCTAGGACTACTTCCCACATACCCAGTACAATAAAAACCATTCGCACAAGGTGTTTCTTGGCATTTCACAAAGAAATGGAAAGTTACATGGTAACCAAAATGTCAGATTTCAAAGACAAATCTTCAGCTCAGAGGTATAAAAGGGACAGAACTTCAGCAAGCCTTAGAGCAGCAGGCAATATGGTGCTTTGCTAAGTAGTGCAGCAGAAAGAGCACGGGTAAAATTTTCAAAAATACCTGAATGATTTAGGCACTTAAGTCCCATTGCCTTTCAACATGATTGGGGATCCTCGGAACAAAGTTATTTTAAAAGGGGACTTAGGACATTGCAAAAATGTACCCTCGCGATTTTTACTTTAAACAATGGGATCACCACTAGCTCCTGCATTAAGGTCTTAGAAAGCCAAGGGAAGAATATCAAATAAGCAAAGCAGAACCCAGCCCCTGGGTCGTGGGAAGAGCAAGATTTTAAAAATGAATGTGATATCATCCTGGACTCCAGTGTGAGGACTTCGGAGTAGGAGTTACTTACGAAGTGCTCAGAATGCTAGCTGCTGAGCTGCTATGGTAGCTTGTTGATACACTTCGCAGGCAATTCAGGAAATGAAGAATTACAGTAACCAAGTCTAGCGATTATAGAGGCATGAATTACTATTTCCAGGTCAGGGCTGACAGGATTGGGGAAACTCTGGCAATATTCCTCAAATGCTAAAAGGAACATTTGGTTACACATTTAACATATTCTGACATAGACCTTACTCTAATGTTACCCCTAGACATAGAACAAATGGCACTGCATTACAGCCATCAGGCAGTGAGTTGGTCACAGGCACTGAATTTCATCCCTATGCATAGCTAAAAAGCAACATTTCATTTTTAATGGTAGTGAGTTTTTAAAAGATTTTAACTTTCATAAATCCATGTTTGGTTGTTTAGCCATGGTGACATTTTTGGGTTCTCTTACTCTGTTATTTATTTTGGGGTATTCATTAAGTTGAGTCTCTATTATGGTGTCTTTAAAAAGTTTCCATGCAGTTTGTAGGTCAGTTTTCAGAATAGATAAACATAAATAGTGGTATTAATCCACAGTGGTCAGTACTGGGACCAATCCTATTCAACATATTCATAAATGCTTTGGAAAAAGAGGTAATGAGGTGGCAAAATTTGCATATTATACAAAAATACTTAAGATAGTTGAGTTGCAAACAGACTGAGGAGAACTTCAAAAAGATCTCACAAAACTAGGTGACTGGGCAACAAAATGGCAGATGAAATTCAATGTTGATTAAAGCAAAGTAATGCACATTGGAAAACAATGTTAGCGTATACATATCAAATGATAGAGTCTAAATTAGCTGCTGCCCCTCGAAGAGATCTTAGTGTCTTTGTGAATAGTTTGCTGAAAACATCCCCTCGTGCAGCAGCAGCAGCAGACAAAAAAGTGAACAGAATGTTGGAAATCATTAAGAAAGAGATAGAAAATGAAAAAGAAAACACCATATCGCTTCTGTAGTAATCCATTGTACGCCCACAATATCTGTGTGCAGATCTTGTCACCTAGCTCAAAAAAGATATATTTGAATTGGAAAAGATTTTCATAAAAGGACAACAAAAATCATTAGGGATTATGAAATGGCTGCCATATGAGGTGAGATTAATAAAACTGGGACTTTTCAGCTTGGAAAAGAGACGACTAAGGGGAGACATAATAGAGGGTTATAAAATCATGACAGGTGTGGATAAAGTAGATAAGGAAGAGTTGTTTATTCCTTCTTATAACATAAAACTAAGGGTCACCAAATGACATTAATAAACTGCAGGTTTAAAAGCAAACAAAAGGAAGTATTTTTTCCCCACAACACACAATCAACCTGTGGAACTCCTTGCCAGAGTATATTGTGCAGGCCACGATTACAACAGGGTTCAAAAAAGAATTAGATAAATTCATGCTTGCCAGAAACTGGAAATGAGTGACGGAATTATTTAGAAGACTTGGACTATTAAGCTTAGAAAAGCTATGTTAGTCTGTAACTAAAAAAAACTTAAAAACAAATAATGCTCCTATAGCACCTTAGAGACTAACAAAAATATATAAATAATATCACGAGCTTTCATGGGCACAACCTCTTTCTTTAGATGACATTTGTCAGCTTGGAAAAACGATGACTAAGGGAATATATGATAGAGGTCTATACGATCGTGACTAAGTGAAAGTGAATAAGTGTTATTTCACACCTTCATATAACACAAGAATCTGAGGGAAAGGAATCATCCAATTAAATGATTAGGCAACAGGTTTAAAAACAGAAGGAAGTACTTCACAAAACACACATTCAATTTGTGGACCTCATTGCCAGAGGATATTGTGATGGCCAAAGGTATGACTGGGTTCAAAAAAGGCTTAGGTGAGTATGTTCTTGGAGGCTTGGTCCTTCAATGGCTATTAGCCAAGATGGTCCAGGATGCAACCCCATGTTCTGGTGCCCCAGCCTCCAAAAGGCAGCAGTTGGGAGTGGACGACAGAGGATGGATCAGTCACTGCTTTAGTGACTCTCTGAAGCATCTGGAATTGGCTGCTGTTGAGAGGCAGGCTACTGGGCAAGCTTGCCCATTAGTTGGACCTAGTATGGTCATTCCTACATTATTTACTTATATTGGGATAGCTGATTTAGAACAAGTGTATGAAAGGATGCTCTAGGAGTAGTCCAGGTGATAATAAATATGTTAACGTAGGGCTTTTTCTAGCCTACTGCCTATGTGGTCTCCTATGACCTAGGTCAGATACTGAGCTCACTTCTTCAGGGAATGTTTCACCATGTTTGGAAGAGGTGCAAGTGCTATGGCAGGAGGGGACATCAGAGATGCATGGAACTGGTGACATCATACTGGGCCTTGTTACCTGTTCTTGGGAGCAGATTCTGTCCCTTGCTGTAGCTCCTTTTCATTGCTCTTAAAGGGGCTGCAGTGCCCACTGAGGATGCCCGGCGGTGTAGGACCTGCACAGGCGGTGGGGTAGGAGGCAGGGAGTTGGTGAAGCATGAAGTGATCTATCTGTTCTGTGCTGCAGAGCCCTACAGAGACAGTGCTTCCTCTAGCCCAGGGGTGGGGAACCTGTTGGGGGTCGAAGGCTGCTGACCCACAGAAAAATCAGTCAGGGACCAGGGGCTGTGGGGAGGCAGCAGGAGTGCCAGCACAGGCTCCCCAATGATCAGACTGACCCACAGAAAAATCAGTCAGGGACCAGGGGCTGTGGGGAGGCAGCAGGAGTGCCAGCACAGGCTCCCCAATGATCAGAGAGGCCCTAAGCCTTGGGGGCCAGATCCAAGTAACCCAGGGTCTGCATCCAGCCCATGGGCCTTAGGTCCCCCCCACCTCTAGCCTGTAGCGGGCGGGAGATGGGAACCCCACATTTCCTGTCCTAGGCCTCTTGATACCAAATGCCAATCTGGGGAAAGACTACTGAGGCATGCAGACAGCTTATGAATCCAGTATGGCCATTCTTTTGTAATTATCAGACATAACTCTATGTTCAAGCTGTGTTCTGTTAATATTTCAATAGGTTTACCAGGAGAGAAGGGAGAAAGAGGCACCCCAGGTGTCGGAACACAAGGACCCAGAGGCCCACCGGGGCCTCCAGGTAAAGTTATCACTCTCTAGAGCTCATAGGTTCACACACAGCTGTAACCCATCAGTGGTTGCAGAGCAGTTGGGATTTTTTCAGGTGTCTGTGTAGTACCTTTGTTCCAAATCTGTTTTGGGCACCTTAGTGTCACAATGCTTGTGTCATCACAATCCAGCATCACAACATGATGACCCTCTGTCAGTCACACACATAGTCTCTGTTTGCATGCAATAAACTGCTTGCCTAAAGGATATGTGTTTTTGTGGAATAAAGGATTGAGGGCTAGAGCAGTGTTTCTCAACCTTTTTTTATAAAGTACCCCTTTTAAAAAAAAGTACCCCCAGTACCTACAGTTTTCAGACACACACAATTTTTTCTAATATTGCATCACATTTGTTTAAACAACTTAATTGTAGCTAGGCGGACAATGACATTTTTGGGTGTAAAAAGTACAAAAATAATAAAGCACTGTGAAACTTCAAACAAAAATTCAGTTTTCTCCAAATTTCAGTTGTGTTGATGTATCCCTCCCCCCCCCAAGAATACTCTCGAGTATCCCTAACGGTACTCGTAGCACTGGTTGAGAAACACTGGGCTAAAGATACAGGGTGAATTCTGGATCAACTGAACAAAAATAGGTTGACACCAGTGGGGCAGAGATGTCCCCCACTGAGTAGACTGCTAGAGAGACATAGTGTTCTGTGTGCAATATGAAATGGAGGAGGTAAGGGAGCCTGGTCAATCTGACACTTGGTGCAGTCTGCTGAGCCTTGGCTGTAACACTTATGCTCATCAGAAGTACTACAATAAACTTTCAGGCTAAAAAGCCCCCTGTCTGGCAAAGACGCCTTAGCAGTATCCAGGGAAGATGCGAGGCTCATCAGAAGTAGGGAAATCACAATTCTCCCCAGTTTGCTGGGGAAATTTTAAGCAGCCTCTCTCGGCATGTACAACACTCTCAGAGCCATGATATCCTAACAGGTACTTAGTGATGTAGGATGTTCTCTTCCTGGGGATGCTATTTGTTTCATTCTTGTACTTTATGCAGGACCTTCTGGTGAAAGTCGAACTGGCAGCCCAGGTCCACCAGGATCCCCTGGCCCACGAGGCCCAGTTGGTCATGCAGGCGTTCCTGGTCCACAGGGTCCCTCTGGCCAGCCTGGCTACTGTGATCCTTCTTCTTGTGCTGGGTATGATGTGGGAGGTGAGTACATTTCGTCAGCGTAAGTAGTCTTTATCCAGTCTTCAGCAGTCAGCTTTGTAGGTGGGGTAGGATGAAAAGGAAGTGTAGTACTTTTACTAGCAGTCAAAGTAAGATGGAGACCTTTGATAAAGCCTTGCATTAAAATGTGATACTCCTTGGAAAAAAAGGTCTAATTCTGTTCTAATATATGGATTTACTTTGAGAAGAGTGTAACCTTAGGAAATAAGAAAATTCACATCAAACCCAGAAGGCCTATACCATTAATGAAATGTATTGTTTTGTACATGTTTGTGGCACTGTCAGATTACAAGTCTACTACATGTCAACTGAGTGTTTTGTTTGTTGAGTGTCCATTTTCTAATGTTTGTGACAGTGGAGTTTTATATTTGTAGTCTTTTCAACTACCATTTCCTCATTCATGTGCTTCTATAGAGCATGAAAGCATGAACTCTACTAAACAAAAAAATACTGTAACCTAAAGGAGGATGCACGTGCTCATCATTAACCAATGAAACATAATGCAGAAGACAGGATCTGTTCTAAAATTCCTTCTGTAACATTTAGGGTGCCTGTACTGTAATGGTTTGTGTTGCAATATATAATGGCAATGGAAGGGGAATTAACAGGAATTATGATATAGTCATGTTACTGGACTTTAATTTTCTGCTTGAGTACAATATTAGTCACTACAAATGAAATTCATGAGACAGTTTCTATGTTTTACTGACATGTATGTTTTTGTTGTCCGTCTCTTCCCATCCTTTTCTTCTCACTATCCCCACCCCTGTTGTTCATTTCCTGTTTTAAGGCCCAATCCCTTACAATGGCTTCCACTCCAGAAGGTGAAAGGCTCATTCAGGTTGCATTTTTCATTTCATTTTACTGAAGGTCAGAAATGGATATTGAACTGCCTTTTACTTTTTATCAACAATATTGACCACCACTAATGGACTTTTTTGTAACTGCTGTATATGCACTGAGCTTCCATGTCCTGTTAAAATTAAAATTTGCCTGACCCTTTCTGTCCATTATTCATAGATTTAGGACATAATTGGAATCTGGTAAAGCAAATAAATTGGCTTAATATGTAATAAAGCACAATGGTGTAATTTTTGGTGATGGTTTCCAACTAACTTGGCTGTTGAGGGATAGGTTTTTGTTTCCAATCTCTCCTGCTTATTAATTGTGTTAAATGTTTTCAGTGTTCCTTTTTGTGAATTAAAGATATTGTATTTAAAGAGACATGTAATATTCCAATTTTCTAATTATTACTTTAATTTTCTGCTCCCCTCCTCCTTTTTGTGCTAACCATATGAATACTCTCGCTGGTGGTGGGTTAAGGTGGATACGGTGATGCAACTGATCAAGACATCCCCGTAGTGCAATTGCCACATAACTCCTACCAAATCTATGACCCAGAGGAACTTTATGATGGTGAGCAACAGCAATATATAGTTCATGGGTCCTACCCCCAACCAGCCCAATATCCCCAGTCCTCCTATCCAGAACCTCGTATTCCTCAACCAGAGTTTACCCCTGTTCGGGAAGAGATGGAAACCATTGAAGAAGTGAGATCCCCTGGAATTAGTCGCTTTGCAAGAAAAATATCAAAAAGAAGCGTGAACTCTCCAGCACACAAGAGAGAAATTAAAAAACACTCTTAAGGAACTGTTAAAAAGAAAAGTTTATGTGCATATATTTTAGGCTTGTGTCCAATTACATAAATTATCATCATGGAAAATTGTTACAGGCTCATATGTTAAGGGGAAAAAATTATACACAACCACTTCCGCAGAACAAATAATTGTAATTATTTTGCATGCCAGAAAATATTAGTATTTTAGTGGGTTGGTGCTAGAAGATGATGAAAAGGTCATTTGTAGACCTTTGAGATTGTTGTGTACTGTTAAACATACTGCTCAAACTGTATCTTAAAAAAATGCATCACAATAGCGGGTGTAATTAAGACATTTCAGAAAAGTTAATTCAGTAGTACCTTGCTGTCCATGTTTCTCCGTATGATTCGTTCCATTAATATTTTGATAAATTGCTTTCCTAGCAGAGTAACCTTCCTCAATTCACCTTTGAAAAGACTGCATTCCCAGTAGCTCTCCTTATATCTGGCTGTTAAATCCTTTTATGAAGAAGTCTTATGTTAATTGGATTTTTTACCACAGTAGCTATTCAAAACAAATAGCAGTCTATGGGAACATGCTGATAAATTATTGTGAAAATATTCCAATTGTTTTGTACACAAATAAAAATTGAAAACTTTTGTAAGTTTACACTCCATTTTGTTGATTTTAGCTCCAAATATTTGAAGTGAACTTCAGATGGCAGTGTGTAAAGACAGAATATAGATACTCTCCCCAGTAGAGTAATTAAAAGTCATTTATTTTTGCCTTCAGTACAGTACCATAATGACAAAAGTAGTAGGCTGGGATATGTTTGTTTTGTTCCTTTAATATAAAGGTCTACAAAATGTACACAGTTGAAGTTAAATTTCTATTTATTACTTGAAAACTACCAGTTTAAAACAGCATTTCTTTAAGTGGTCCGTGGACCCATTCTGAGAAGGCTGCTACCGGGCCACTCCGATTTTTTTACTTACTGGCTCCAAAGAGTCTCGCAGCTCCCGTTGGCTGCAGTTCGCCATTTGCAGCCAAGGGGAGCCCATTGCTTCTTGTCTTATCATCAGAGGTCAAGGAAAACAATTTTTCTCCCTCCTCCTTGTAACTGCTGATACTTGAAAACTCATGTCCCCTTCTCAGTCTTCTCTTTTCTAAACTAAACAAGCCCAGTTCTTTCAATCTTCCTTCATAAGTCATGTTTTCTAGACCTTTAATCATTTTCATTGCTCTTCTCTGAACCTTCTCCAATTTCTCCACATCTTTCTTGAAATGCAGTGCTCAGAACTAGACACAATACTCCAATTGAGGCCTAATCAGCACAGAGTAGAGCGGAAGAATAATGACTTGTGTCTTACTCACAACAGTCCTGTTAATGCATCCCAGAATCATGTTTGCTTTTTTTGCAAGTGTCACACTGTTGACTCGTATTTAACTTGTGGGCTACTATGACTCCTAGATTCCATTCTGCAGTACCCCTTCCTAGACAGTTGCTTTCCATTCTGTATGGCTACGTCTACACTACGAGTTTTCTCGGCAAAAATATGCCAACGAGGGACTCATTTGCATGAGTTGTGATCTCATTTGCATATTTTCTGCCAATCCGTTTTTGCACTGGGGTTTTTGCACAAAAACAAGCAGTGAGGACGTTTTCTTTTTGCACAAAACCCCCTTTTTTCCACAAGATCCTTATGTCCCAAAAAAGGAGGTTTACCAATCTTGCAGGAAAAGGGGTTTTTGCGCAAAAAGAAAATGTCCACACTGCTTGTTTTTGTGCAAAAACACAGCACAAAAACGGAGCAGCAGAAAATATTCAAATGAGATCACAACATATGCAAATGAGTCCCTCATTAGCATATTTTTCCCGAGAAAACTCGTAGTGTAGACGTAGCCTATGTGTGAAACTGATTGTTCCTTCGTAAGTGGAGTACTTTGCATTTGCTCTTGTTAAACTTCATCCTACTTACCTCATACCATTTCTCTAGTTTGTCCAGATCATTTTGAATTATGACCTTATCCTCCAAAACATTTGCAGCCCCTCCTAGCTTGGTATCATCTGTAAACTTAAGCATACTCTCTATGCCAATATCTAAATTGTTGATGAAGATATTGAACAGACCCATGTGGAACTTCACTTGTTTTGCCCTTCCAGTAGGGTTGTGAACCGTTAATAGCTACTCTCTGACAATGGTTTTCCAGCCAGTTATGCATCTACTTTATAGTAGCCCCATCTAGGTTGCGTCAAATGCTTTACTGAAGTCCAGGAATACCACGTCCACTGCTTCTCCCTTATCCAGAAGACTTGTTATCCTATCAGAGAGCTCTCAGATTGGTTTGGCATGATTTGTTCTTTACAAATCCAGACTGGCTGTTACTTATCTCATTATCTTCCAGGTGTTTGCAGATTAATTCCTTAACTACCTGCTCCATTATCTTCCTTGGCACAGAAGTTAAACTGACTGATCTGTAGTTTCCTGGGTTATTCTTATTTCTTTTTTATAGATGGGCACTATATTTGCCCTTTTCCAGTCTTCTGGAGTCTCTCCCTGCTTCCATGAATTTTTAAAGATGATAGCTAGAGGCTCAGATACCTCCTCTATCAGCTTCTTGAGTATCCTAGGATGCATTCTATGAGGCCCTGTGACTTTAAGACATCTAACTTTTCTAAGTAATTTTTAATTTGTTCTTTTTTTTTATTTTAACTTCTAAACTTATCCCATTTCCACTACCACTCACTGGTCTCTCCCTGCTTCCATGAATTTTTAAAGATGATAGCTAGAGGCTCAGATACCTCCTCTATCAGCTTCTTGAGTATCCTAGGATGCATTCTATGAGGCCCTGTGACTTTAAGACATCTAACTTTTCTAAGTAATTTTTAATTTGTTCTTTTTTTTTATTTTAACTTCTAAACTTATCCCATTTCCACTACCACTCACTGGCCTTGCTTGGGAGAGAGAGAAATGCAGCTGTACCCAAGATGTAACTTATTAGCATTGCTAATACACAAGCCATTTGTTATCTTCCATACCCCTTATCCACTGTGAATCATAAATTAAGGCTTTGTCTACACTACAGCTTTTGCCAGAAGAGGCAATGCAAAGGGATTAGCATTTTCTCACGCTTCATTTGCATAATCTCTTCTGATCCGTTTTTTGTGCAAAATGGATACAGGGAGGCATAAGGATCTTGCGCCAAAAGAGTTTTTGCTCAAAATGGCCATGGCCACACTGCGGCTACGTCTACACTTTGAAGTAAGAATAAGAGCCTCCGGAAAAGGGCACTTTTTCCGGAGGATCGGGACCAGTCTAGACGCTCTTTTCCGGCTTTTTTAAAAGCCGGAAAAAAGCGGCGGCCATTTTTATTTAAATGCCGCGGGGGATATTTAAATCCCCCGCGGATTTCCCTACGACGACTCTTGAAATTTACATGCCCCTTACGGAAGAGGGGCCAGTGTAGACGTAGCCACTATGTTAGGCATCCTGTCACCATCCATCTTCTTGATGAAAACTGAAACAAAGAAGTCAGTAAGCACCTCTGCCATTTCCAGATTTCCTGTTACTGTTTCTCCCTCGTCACTGAGCAATGAACCTACCCTGTCCTTGGTTTTCCTTTTGCTTCTAATATAAAATATAATATAATGTAATATAATTAAATATAATATAGATTAGAAGACCACTGCATATAGATACAAACCCCATATCAAAGGACTGGAATCTGTGACAACTTGATCATCAAATAATGCAGCCAGTCAAGACAGAAATCAATTCACACAACGCTATACTTTAATCTATGATAATGCAGATACATGTAAAAGAGCAAATATTACTCAAATTGGAGGTCTGACCAGAATAAGCAACAATTATGATAACCTCTTGTAAAATTAAGAGAGAGAATGTTACTTACCTTGTAGCACTTGGACATTCTGCATGATGTGAGGTCCTTCTCTCTGTGTACAGTAATTCCTCATTTAACATGTGCCCACTTAGCACGTTTTCGCGATAGCACGATTTTTTTTAGGGAACGTTTTTTGAATTACATGACCATCCCCAAAATAACACAATTTCCCCAGCCGGCCCATTGCCAGTGGCTGTGTAGGGCTTCCCCTGCCTCCCTGCAAAGCAGCAGAGGATTTGCCACTCGTTGCGCCGTTCCCCTCTGACTCTCCCTTACTGGACGCCTTGCTCCCTCTCCTCCATCCCCCGCTTGCAGGCCGGCGGCTGGGCTTCCCCAGCTAGCCCATCGCCGGCGGCTGTGCAGGGCTTCCCTGCTTCCCTGCAAAGTGGCAAAGGGCTCGCCGCGCCGTTTCCCGGAGATCCCTCCCCCGCAGGACGCAGTGTGGGTCCCAGCAGACCCGTCACAGGGGCACACTCCCAACCCAATCCTCTTCCTCCCGTTCCCTTCCCCAGAGCCAAACATCTCCCCTCCCTGCTGTAATCCAGAATACTTTCTCCCCCAACCTTATGTCCTGGTCCCAACAGACACCACCATTTGAAACGCAACCCCCACCTTTTCTATTATTTTCAATGGGAAAATTGACCCCGCATAACACGTTTTCACTTAACACGATCATTTTCTGAAACATATCTATAGTGTTAAATGAGGAATTACTGTACTCATGTGCTCCATGTGCCCAGAACTGGGAATTCTAAAAGCTGTCTGTTGGTTCACATATGTGCCCATTATCTCCTCAATCAGGGGTACCAGGTGAACAACATTGGGGCTCACTGACCATTCAAGCACCTTCTCTATCACAACTTGAAAAGATGAACCAAAACAGGGGGGATGGAGAGTGGGAAGCATAGTACGTAGTCATGGACCAAGGCTCCATTGTGCCAGGCCCTAAAAAAATTCTTATTTAATAATTACTCCATTTTTTATTCTTATCCATGTTTGATAAGATTTGTCTTTTCTATGTTGTATCTATTCTTATGTTTCTTAAATGCCTGTGTGTTTGGGCCAAGAGATTGCATGGCGAAAGTGAAGCAGCTGATACCATAGTTATTGTTCAACACTGTCTTCCTTCCCCTGAAAAAGGCCAGTGTGTTTGCATTCTCATCCAGCTAAGGACAGTCAGTCTTTGCTTGTGGCCCCCAGGGAAGACTCAAGATAAAGAGAGATGAATCATTGGCATTTAGTCTACAATGTGGTTGTATACAGTCTGAAGAAACCTCTGGCCCAAAATTAAGCCTTAATTTACCAGAGCCTGTATGCATAGGAGCAAGTCAGGAGTGGGCAATAATTTTTGCCCAGGGGCCACTTCAAAATTTTTTGAAGTAGCTCCAGGCCACCCCGGAAGGGGCGGGGCCTAAACAGGAAGGGGTGGGGCCTAAATGGGAAGGGTCTGGGCTCCCCCACCCCCAGACCAATCCTGCTTCCATGATTGGTCTGGGAGTGGGGGAGCCCCTTTGCCCTCCCTTCCCACTAGGTATCCATGCCCTGGAAGAGGCTTGGCACGCTACCCCACAGCTCCCCTGCCCCCAGGCCAATTGGCCTGGGGGGCGGGGCAGTGTGCAAAGCCTCCTCCACTCTCCCCCCTGCCCTGAGAGCAGCGCGCGGCACTTCAAAGCGCCACGTGCTCCTGACAGGGTGGGAAGAGGTTTTGCGTGCTCCCCTGCCTCCCAGGCCAATTAAGGCCTGGGGGTAGGGGAGCAA